CAGACGACGGTCAGCGCAGTGTGTGTATGCTTCTGAGAAAAGGTTTAACGTCCGTGTCTTTACTGCTAGGACCGGGGTCCCATCGCAGAGGGTGGCCAGCAGGCCAACAGACACCCCGTTATATAGGAAGAGCTTATTACACCTTAGATTTTCGCTGCTAGAACACAAAGTTCCTTCACAGTGGGCAGCCTAGGAAAGGCTGAAAAGGTGCCCCAACAGATCTTGTCACCTGGGAGAGACACAGATCCAAACGCCCAAGCTCATCCTATGACTGTCCCTTTATGACCAGCTGAAGTTCTTTTAAATTGTGCTTGGTTCTGTTACAGCAACTGAAGGAGTCAGGTTAAAAACTTAAATAGTTACAGGTTTATTAAAAAGACTTATAAAAGCATATGGTTACAATGGCTATTGCTCTCTTTCTTAACTGTTAGCAAATACAGATTTTAAAAATAGTTACAAAGAAAATAAAGATAGAAAATAGAAATAATGGTACCAAGTGACAGCTTAATCTTTAAAGAGCTCTAAGTCTAGAATAAGACCCTCCGGAAAAGGGCGCTTTTTCCCTACTACGATAGCTGAAATTAACATGCCCCTTCCGGAAAAGGGGCCAGTGTAGACGTAGCCCCGATGTCTGTCCCTTTTATGACCATCTGAAGTTCTTTTAAATTGTGCTTGGTTCTGTTACAGCAACTGAAGGAGTCAGGTTAAAGCTTAAACAGTTACAGGTTTATTAAAGAAGCTTATAAATCATATGGTTACAATGGTTATTGCTCTATTTCTTAAATGCTAGCAAATATATATATATATAGGTCTTAACAATGATTACAGGAAAAAGGTAAAGATAGAAAATAGAAATAATGGTACTAAGTGACAGCTTAATCTTTAAAGAGCTCTAACACTATGTATATATATACTTAAGCAAAGGACAACACCCAGGTACAATTTTTACCCCTTTTTCGACTCCAGCATGTCAGGCCAGGGCCGGTCTCTCAATTCGTAGGAAAGACGAATACGAGGTGGGCGTCCCCTTGGAACCTCGGGAGATCAAACACCTAACCCGACCAGCAGATAGATGGTAGATTGACACTCAAAGCAAGTGTGCTGCTGGACTCATCTTTATACCCCTGGGTATAAAATGCACAGTTTGCTCCATTCTTCAATCTGGTTGAGGAATCACAGAGGGTAGATTAAGCTGGTCCTGCCCCAGCTTGGGGACATACACTCCTTCCCCAGATGTGCCTGCTGGAGCTAAAGCAGCCATGGAGAGGTGCTTCTCACCTGGCCCCAAGCTGCAGCCGTGAGGGCTGGGGTTGTCCTCTCTCCCTGGGGAAGCCTGCATGCTGAACCTTCCTCCCCAGTTCCACCACAGAGCAATGATTTAAACGAAGAAAAACAAATGAGTTAAGGACCCAAACAACACCAGATAAATCTTCTAGTAACTAATATTTTAATTTAAATCCATCTGCTACTCCTTGAATGGAAGGATTGTAGCTAGTTTTTTTCTTGACCAAGCAGATTTTACTTTGAGTAAAGCTTTGAGACACTGAATCAAAAGTTGAATTGCAATGTGACTATGATGCCCATTGTCTGATATTCATTTAATAGTGTCCAGTAATTTACAGATATTTCTACTGATACTTGCATGTCAATCAAGGACAATGTTACATGGATTGTACTGTCTGGAGGATCCCTAAACAGTTGTAAATAGCAAAGTCTCCTGTGAAAAACTACAGGATCTGTTAGTTCTGATCCAGCGGTGAAAGTAATTTACAAGTGCTGTCCCATTGCAACCTGGGTCCCTGCCAGCTCTTTATACAGCTCCTTGCTGGCCTTTGCCCCAGCTCAGCCAGCTCCTGCCAGAGCTGAATGCCAGGGCACACCCGCTTCCTTTCACCTCTGGTTTGATCTTATTAAAGAGGAAGTAACACTACTGCACTCAAAGGAGTTGCGAACACTAGTGAAAACAGAGAAATAATCCAAGGAATTTACAGAAATATCAGCTAAAGCACAGGTGGGGACCCTTTTTTGGATAGGGACCACACACAAGTGAGAAACAAAATGAATGAACGAACAAAAAACCTCCCTGATGTGGCCCCCCAATTGAGGAGAAAGACACTCCCTACATTCAGATCTTAGGGGGGGCTCAGGCTAGTAGATTGTGTGCTCCAGCCCCAGCTCCCCAACGCTGGGGGGAGCACCGAGCCTCAAGGACCAGATCCAGGCAAGCCAGGGGAACCTACCCCACCCCTGAGCTAACAGCAAGCTAATGCCTCTGATCACAATCAAAATACTTCTCAGTTTTGAGGTGTGTGCATATGGCATCACTGGACATAAGTAGGGCCCTACCAAATTCACATCTATGAAAAACATGCCACAAAATGTGAAAGCTGGTCTCCCTCTGAAATCTTGTTTTGGGTACTTTCACCATGTGCTATACAGATTTCACGTGGGAGAGAAGCATTTCTCAAATCAGGGGTCTTGACCCAAAAATGGGTTGGAGGAGAGTTGCAAGGTTACTGTGGGGAGAGTTGCAAGGTTACTGTGGGGGAGAGTTCAGTATTGATAATCTTACTTTTTGCACTGCCTTCAGAATAGCATGGCCAGAAAGCATCAGCTTCTGGTCAGGCACTCAACTATGAAAGCAGCACCCTACCAGCAGCAACACAGAAGGAACAGTGACAATACCAAGATATGCCACCCTTACTTCTGCATTGTTGCTTTCAGAGCTGGTCAGATAGATTGGTGGCTGCTGACCAAAGGCCCAGCTCTAAAGGCAACAGCACAGAAGTAGGAGTGGCAATACCATATCATGCCATCCTTACTTCTGCATTGTTGCTGGCAATGGCTCTGTGTTCAGAGCTGGGCTCCTCGCCAGCAGCCTTCAAATACCTGAAGTGGTGTTCCAAAGAGGATAGAGATAAGCTCTTTTCAATGGTGACAGATGACAGTACAAGGAACAACGGCCTCAAGTTGCAGTAGGGGAGGTCTAAGTTGGATATTAGGAGGGTGGTGAAGAACTGGAATGGGTTATCTAGGGAGGTGGTGGACTCTCGATTCCTGGAGGTTTTTACGCCCTGGCTTGAGAAAGCCCTGGCTGGGATGATTTAGTTGGGATTGCTCCTGCTTTTAGCAAGGGGTTGGACTAAATGACCTCTTGAGGTCTCTTCCAACCCTATGATTCATACTGAAATGAATGATGAATGTGTGTGTCCTCTACTGTTATGGCATCATCTTGACCAGATTTTTGCTATGAGGCCACCACTGAACCTCATTTGTCATGGGTCTGCAGTCATCCCTTTTGGCAGTGCCCAAGATTGACCAGGACTCTGAGTAGGAGAAGGAAGAGAGCTCTGAAAACCACGATCTCTTCCCCACACAGAAGTATGAAGCAGACTCCAGTGAACATGCAGCTTCTGAAAGCCAGGTGGACACCTGGTAGGAGGGGATTTCTATGAGTAAGTCTGGTGCTCCATTAAATAACAGCATGGGGAGGGGGTAACTGAATACTTTTTTGTTGTGGGGGCTTGCTAGATGCTGCCATTGTGGACAAAACTAGGAGCTTCTCTGGACTTTAAATGGCTGCACTGGGGAAGTTTAGTTCCTTGGCTGTTTACTGCACATATATATTAATAGCTCACTAGGCTGCCTGTCTCCCTTTACAATTATTGTAAAGTGCTCCTCATAGTCAAACAAGATTTAAATAAAAAAATATTGTAAAATAGTTATTCACTGAAAGACTTGGTTCACTGAATACAAGACAATATTAAAAAACTGGTTCACGTTTTATGCTTTCAGTGATCTTAGCATTTTATAAGGCACATTACCCCAAAGTGGGACAGAATGCAAAGCCTAGACAAGTCAGGGTTTCAGAGATGCTCACTGAACAACTCCTGCAGAACTTTTATCTTGCAGTGTGTGACGGACCCGGCGGGGTCCGCACTAGAGGAGGGAGCGGGACTCCCCCTCCCTCGGGAGAAACCACGCGCCGCAAGCGGCGCGCCGACCGGCATCGCAGCCCCGGAGTTGGGGCAGCGGCAAGCCCAACCCGGGGCACCCCGCCAGGAGCGGGGGAGGGCGCGGACCGCGCGGAAGCAGCCAGCCCGCCCGCCCCGGCTTGCGGCTCTGAACGGGGCACGGGCCCACGCTGGGGCAAGGGCGGGGGCGGCCGCAGCGCACGGGCGCGGCGGAACGCCCAGATGTCACTCCCCGGC